TAGATAGATAGATAGATAGATAGATAGATAGATAGATAGATAGATAGATAGATAGATAGAGATAGGTAGATAGATAGATAGATAAATATTTGCTTTCCTTGGTTTTTTCACATTACGACAGCTGCTCCTTTGGGGGCGAAGGTATGAAATGTAAGTCAAATAAAACAGCATTAGAAGTTATGTTTTATTTTCTTAAGGATGACAGTGAAATCCTCTCGCCCTCAAGGAGACATGATGAAAACTAGTACTGCCCCTCCTCAAATATTATCTACGTTTAATTGCAAAGGGACATGAAACCGGAAATTCAGCAGCTTGGAAATACAAATATTGTTCACAAGGTGGGCTTCCATCTATGTCAGAGGTCTCAAACTAGCAGTCCGGATGCATCGTGTGCTGGCCCCACCCCCATCCGTTTTAGCGCAGGGGGGAAAAGTCCCGATACGTCACGTGACGCTGCGAGTTTGACATCCCGATCTTTTGTCATCTCAAAAGCTAAAAACTCAAGTCATTGCCACTGTTGCGGCCTGCCAATGGCCAGCGGTTCTGGCAGCAGATTTGGACAGTGAGGAGGTTGGGGAGGAACCTGGGCCAGTCCTGGAGTCTGGCAAAGGCTCTGCTGAGGGCTCTGTGTCGGAGGCAGAGAGGGGGACAGAGCCATCTGACAGTTATCAGCTTCCTTCGGAGTCAGACATCAGTGAGGCAGAAGAACAGGTGGAGCCTGTTCCCAGTGCGCACATGCGCAGTGTTGCCAGGAGAAGGAAACAGCTAAAGAACAAGGGGCGACTTGGGAGTAAGGCCACAGGTGGGCGATGAATGGCCCCTCCCAGAGGAAATAAAAGAGGAGCGAAAGGGGAGTGGAGTTTGCAGGAGACAATGACTTCATTCTTGCATTCTTGCCAAATATTGCGGCGTCTGAAAGATATCAACCTGGCCGCTCTCCAAGCCTGATAAAGGTCGGTAATTGTGAGCTATCTTGAAAGACTGTGGGAGAGGAAAGACTTTGCTGGAGATGAATTCACTGTCAATTAAATAAAAGGGGTTTATCTGGACTAGGACTCGGCTTCGTGCTTCTGGGGAAAGCTAGGTCAGAACAGCCACGAGGATTTTTTCATCTGGTTCTACAGCATGTTTTGGCTACCTTTCAAACACTTTCTGGTACAAATACTTCCGCTGTTCCTCCCGGTTACATTTGAGTAATGGAAACCACTCCCAAAAAGGCAGTTCTACTGGGACGTATCCAATTTGGCGGAGCTGCCTCCTTTTCATGGCGTGGAGCCCCAGCAGCTCCTTTGAGTGATATCTGTACTGGTTTCTGTTGGTGACCTGAAGGGCTAATTTCACACATTCCTGCTGCTCCTGGTTTATCGGAGAGGGTCGTCCTTCAGCTTTTGCATCAGCTGAAGTCTCCAAACCGGGTTCGGCATCAGAAAATTCCATTTTTTTCCAAATAGGCAGTCCGTGAAATTCTCCCCTTTTCTGGTCTTTCTCGCTTTCCTCGGACTGGCTGAGCGGTTTCCCTTTCAAAAGCCGATTAATGATGTTATCGGTGAGGAGAGCACCATTTTTTTTCAGTTCCAAGCGCTCCCCGGCCACGCCTTCCGAATTAAACGGCAACGGCTTTCGGTTGGTGTCTAAGCGGATTTCCAAATCCACGGACCTGATGTGAGGCAAGACCGCGTGCAGCTTGATAAACTGGGGGCCGCCCAGCACCTCCTCCAGGAGGGACCAAGCAACGTCGAATTCCTGCTTCAAGACATAATCCCGCATTTTCCCCGCCATCTCTCGCTTGCTTTGAGTGGTCAGGCGGCTGCCGGTGTAGCCCGGGCACTCGATTCCCACCGTCCCGTCGAGGGTGAAAAAATCTTTCCAGAGATCGTGTTTACAGATGCTGCTTAACTCGATAAACTCGGGACTCAAGGCGTAGTCGAGCAAATCGTGAGGGAAACGTTGCACAAAGGCCAAGCCGATTAAGGAAGTGATAAGATGCTCGGGGAATTTATTGTACTC